GTTATTATAGGTTATACGTGTTGTATCTTTATCATTAATGGATAATTACATATGGAAGGGATGCATCACATCTGAAGTGGGTCCATTTATTGTTTAGTTTGCATATTTAATTATTTGTAACGGTATTTTAGAGAATTAGAAAAGATATTCAAAATTTTATTAAATTAATAATATATGATCTAAATTTATTAATATAATAATTCAATATCGACGAAATATTATTTGGATCTTGTTGTATACCAATCATCAAAGACAATCTAGGCCCAAAACTACAAAAATATAAAATAAAAAAATCAAGAATATCTTTGATATTTTAACAGCAATTAATTTTGATAATTAATGGAGGACCACTTTAATAAATTGTGATAATAACATCATCTTCATTATATTTGTAAGGGTGCTACCCTTGTTAGAGCAGCTCAGCTATGATATCATACTATGCAAAAATAATAATTTTGAATAATTATAATTAATTAGCAATTATAATATAAATCGCAATTACATATAAATTCTCAAGGTGAGAAAGAGACTGCAAAAAATAATATAAAAGGAATAAAACCCATATGTAGGTAAATAAAATTGAACTTTTAATCTCTTCATAAAATGAAAGAATTCTGACTAATAGACTAATATAAAAATCAACAATGATAGAGATCTATTTTTTTGTAGACTCTCACAACCCCCAAAGTGATCCACACCACTCATGATGTGGGCCTCACACATATATGAGTGCTATAAATCACTTTGGAGGTTGTGAGGGTCCTAAAGAAAAAGATTTCACTCATATTCTTTGTAATAAATACATCGAACTCTTTTAGTTTACTATAATTTCACTGGACTGCTTCAATGTTTTAATTCACAAAACACTAAGCCTCATTTTCATTGTTAATTTGTTAGCCGTGTATGAAAGAAAAAAAAAAAAATGTTTATCCTTATGTTTACACGTCATCTGCATTATAAGAAAAAAAGAAAGGAAAAAAAAACTTACTAAAAAGATAAGGAAAATTTACCCATAAGTCCTACTTTTTGAAACGTTGAACCATTTAGTCAAAAGATAATCAATATAATTATGCCAAATTTTTAGGGCTTATTATATTTTTTTAAACCTCTAGGGTTAGTGTGTAAATTTTCATATCTATATATATATATTATATAAAGTTTTTGCATATTTTTCAAGAGTAAAAAATAAATAGTAGCCGGATAAATATTGGCCAAAAGCAAAACTTACCAATGTATATCTTTGTCTCATTGACTTTATTTATTTATTTATGTATTTTTAAAGAATAAATTTTAGGCTTTCAGACGCAGTAAACCTAATTACATAGATTTATTATTATTATTATTTTTTTTACCAGAACCTAATTACATAGTTGGTTCAAGTTTTCAATTTCAAATCAGAAAAGAGGAGGGTGTGGGAGATCAGGTAGGCATGTCGTTGAAGTAATTAATTAATGAGATTGATATTTTTTTTAGTTGGATAAGAATTTCTTTTTCTGAATAGGTATGCAGTGAAGTATCTTATTAATAGATTTGGAATAAACTATAGCTAATGTTGTACCTCTCTTTTCTTTTCCCTGTATTTTTGGGTCCCATCTCAATTTGAATTATAGATAATTTAGTATCATTAAAATAAAATAAAAAAAAACAGACTTATTGATCTTTTTTATTATTATTCTCTGATTCTATATGTCATGCTTGCTCGATATTGTGCATTATAATTTTTAAGAGGATTTACGTATAAGTCTTAATAGGTAGATTTTTTTGATTAATCGGTCCTATGATAATTAATAATATTTTTTATCAAATACTATTAAAAAATGTCATTAATAGTTAATTTTCAGCGACAGTTTCAAAATTACCACAAAAAATATCATTAATTATAAATTTTAGCAATAGTTTAAAAAAATTATTACAAACAACGTCACTAATTTTTAACTTTCAGCAACAGTTCAAAAAAATCGTCACAGAAGAACATTACTAATTGTAAGCTTTACCAACAATTTATAAAAATCATGACAAAAAGTCAGTAATTATCAATTTTTAGAGACATACAAAAAAATCGTTACAAAAAATTATTTTTAACAACGATTTTATTAATATTTATTTTTAATAAAACTTAATAAAAATTAAATCTAACTATTAATATCTATTGATAATTTATCCTAATTTTTAAAAGCATTGGGTTTAATTGTCTTCAATTTGGCTGTGTGTATATCAATCTACAGCTTTAGCTTTGGACAATGAGGTCAAACCAAACCTGTGCTTATTATTTTTTTTAATTTATATTTTATTTTGGTAATCTTCCTCTCTCACTTGGATATGCTTATAGAATATGTTACTACAATAATATAACTATGATAGTTTTATAATTTAAAGCCATCTTGATAGATTATTTATTTTAAAATTCAAAGTTTAAGTTCAACCATGTCATTATATATGTATTTTATTTTATTTGTACATCATTATTCGAGAAATAATTATATTTTGTTATCTTACAACAATTAACAAAGAGTTGAGCCATATCACTCTCACATTACAAGTCTATTTTTAAGGAGTTATACCCAAGTGGTTTATATCATTTATCAGAGTCGAGCATAAAGCGACGTATTGACAAAATTAGGATACTTATTAAGGTGCTGAATACTAATAAATGAAAAAAGAGCCCCGAGAGAAAAATAACTATTACTAAATCCATATTGATAAAGTGACGTCGATTGCAGTGAGTACAAGCTTTTTAGACATCTTCTCCTACTACCAAGTGATTTGTACCAAATTATGCACCCAGTACCAATGCAATTGAATAGAGTAGGACTTCATACGTGATAATAGGAAAGAAACCAACCAAACAACTAATCGGGGTTTTGTTCAAAACTCACATGACAAAGATATTATAAATTCGGATGAGATTTTTAGGCATAAAGTCCACTTTATGTAGGCCTACTCTTATCCTCCTTCATTGATTTCATTGGCACTTATGGGTTCATTTAATTTGGAAAATTTTGATAAGAAAATAGTCTATTGATTTGGTTATCAACCTACCTTGAGTTGCTCTTCACTAAAAAACCCAAGATTGTGGCTAAAATTTGGCCAGGCTTTTGCTACACATATCAATGTAGAATGGAGGAAACTATGGCTGAAGGAGAGATCTACCCTTTGCTAACTACCAAACATGACCTAACTTGTTAACCAATAAAATTGTTAAAATCGGAAATTTATGAAAAAGTTTTGTGAATAAAATTATAAAAACAGATTGAAAATCTTAAGATTTTAGTGATTTTTTTTTATTATTCTCAATAATAGTGGTGTATGTTGAAAATTATTAAAATCATTAAAAATTGATAAATTTAATAAAATCTGTACTAACATGACCGGTTATAGAGCACTATATTATCAAATTGTCAAATTATTTTTTATTTTTTTATTTTTTCTTTTGTGGGTGTGGAAAGTCAAGTTTATACTGTTAAATATAAATAATAGTTTTTATTAATAAGTACTTTTAGTAAATTGATTAATAAAGAATTGAATGGTTGTACCATTGTTGACAAATCTTGGCCTTACATTTATTGTTTTTCCAGTCCAACAATGTTTGACCTTATCACCTTCATTGGGAAAAAAATACAGATCATACATTTGGATTTCAAAATTCAAATACCTTTTTAAATTTTTTATTTATATTTTGGGCAGACATTTTTGACTTATCATGGTTTTGAAACATGTGACGTGTTTCCTGCTTTTGGATTTGGGATAATCTATTTCAAGTTCAGAAGAGAAATTAAAATAGCCTTTAGTATTAATTTTTGGTACATTGTATGTTATTATCATAATTTTGAAAAAAACGAATACAGAAAAAATTCACTAAACACGATACGTATGTGAAATTCACGCATGTAGGCTCATATTTTGTCTTATATGGGTGTCTCAAACATATTTTGTGAATTTAAACTTTTTATTTTGAAAAAAAATGATAACCAATGTAGTTAATTTATAAATAAAGACACACACGCGCACACACAAAATATATATATATATATATATATATCTTTTTAAATAGAAATTAATATATTTTTTTATACAAAAACGAAGGCTATCCACCTCTCATGGGCGTTGTTTAGTGTTTAAATGATATTTATAACTGTTTTATTTCACCTCTTATGTATATTATACCACAATTGTTATATGTATATATAGAATTATCTTCTCCTTTAAAATAAGAGGTGAAATAAAAAAAATTATTGTATCACATAAAAAGTGAAGAATTTAAATAAAATATAATGATGATATATAGTCTAATTTTTTGGGGAAAAAAAAAAGATTTAGTTCTATCTCTCGGATCTAAACAAATTAATTTTTTTGGAACATGATGATGATGTATATTAGCTCTCAATTTTTATTTCATTTGAAGTGTTCGCACATTCAAGTCGAGGACATAGTGATCCCACTAATAGGCCCTAATGCGTTGGGCCCAAAAACATAGCCCAAAGTTTCTCATTTTCAGATCTAAATAGGCAACATTTTGGTATTTTTATCTTTACTAATCAGGTTATTTTAACAGTGATTCCTGAAGCAACATCATGATTTTCATGAGAAAAAAAAATAACCCACTACACTTGCAGAATAAAATAATTTGCAAATATATATATAAATCTATAACAATGATGTGATAGTGAATACTATTAAAATTTTGATAGGTTAACGAATACAGATTTAACAAATCATTATGTATAAATTTTTTGTATAATATTTCTATTTCATTACTCATGTATATATAAAACAATACATAAATGACTGAAGGCTCGCCATAATTCAAACGACGCTGTATACACACCAAAAACGAGAAAACGATAATGCTATGCAGTTCAAATTTTGTGGCTCAAAAGTGGCTCAAATGGCCAAAACGACGTCGTTTTGAGTACAGAACAACATAAAAATGGCCAAAACGACGTTGTTTTGGCCATTTGAGCCACTTTTGAGCCACAAAATTTGAGCTACGAGACATTTTCCAAGAGAAAAAAGATCAAAAAACAAAATGTGTCAGACCAAATTCATCCCGAGTGTTGCCCACATCATAACAAATTCAAATCTATACCACACATCTCATTTTTTGAGTATTTTTTTTTTTTTTTTTGTAATCAAAGTTACACATGGCAAGCCATTCCAACTTCAAGAGTAGATGCGTGAGGTACATTTAGAGCATAGGTATGTGCCCTGGAATTCCTTCTCAAGAGATCATACCCATAATTTATAACAAGCTTCGTTAGTAGGCTAGACCCTTGCTTTGCACTCACATATGAGTTTCCCAAAATGTAAGCCAGCCCTGCTTCCCTAGCCTCCATCAACTCCTTCAACTCCTCAAGTGCACTGGTGCCCATCTCTGGGCTCTCCGGTACAACAAACCGGACCCGCTTCCTTGGCCGTGTCACCTGAGACTGAATCTCCGATGTCCCGGCTGACCCTCCATCATCTCCCTCATCCTCACTCATTTTTATCCCTTTTGCACGCGTCGAACGTGTTCCAACAACTGCCATTTTTTCATCTTCCTCCCCCAAATCTTCATCCATGCCGTTGGGTCCCGCTTTTCTGTTCCGGATAAACTCCGCTATACTACACACAAGATCTTTCTCAAATGCCAGGTCATCCATCTGAACATCACAATAACCGTACCGGACAATGCACCTATACAGCCTGTATTCTCTTGGCCCAATATGGCCCACGAGGAATCGTTCGTTGTGTTGAATGTGGGGGACCGGGACATTTTTAACGCAGAGAAACACTAGGACTTGGTGGAATGCTGGGAGGTTGGTGACAAAGTGGGAGAAAATCGCGGGGATTCCAGAGACGAGCTCTGTGTGCATTAGGCCAATGCCGCGAACGCGTACAATGCCTAGGCTCGGGCCCAAACTCAGAAGCCAGTCAACCGAGACCTTGTTTTGGACGTCAAATTCATACTTTTTCAACGTGCCATAGTGCCAGACATACATGACGATCATGAAAATGAATGAAAGTGCAATGGGGACCCACGCTCCATCGAGAAACTTGATGAGAGAAGCTGAGAAGTAGAGAGCTTCAATTGTTCCAAAGAAGAAAATGAAGCTAATTGCAAGGAAGACGCTCCGGTGCCAGCATATGACGATGACTAGAGACATTAGGCAGGTGGTGACCAACATGACGGTTATAACTGCTAAACCTGATCCAAAAGGAACAACAGAGTAATTTGGTAAGTAATGATAAAAAACAATAAATAATTTGAAAATTTTGAGGTGGTTTAAGAAAACTAACGCCATGTTTATTCATGCCAAAATTTAGCAGCTATTAGAATGCTAGAGGGAGGATGCGCTATCGACAACAAAGTGTCTTAGTTTCTTTGACTTTATCAATAAATATTCACAATTTTGTGTTTGTTATTGACTTAAATAGTTTATATCATTTTATTGTAATGGTTGCCCCTTCTTTCTGACTAATTTTTTTTGGTTCTGTCACTGATATGAAGAGACTTGAATTCAAAATCTCCCCTAACTTGAGCTCCAATACTATTTTAATGTCCAAAAAACTTAAACTGTTAGAACATAAGCCCAACAATATAAATCAAGCTATCCAATATGCGCATACACATAACAATAGTTTACCGAGAGGGCCTCATACAGAACCTAGACAACATATTCTCAAGTTGAGAATAACAACCCCTGAAATTGGTTAAATTTCATTCTTCATATTCTTCTCTGTTTATCATATTGCACCATTTTTTAGTGAATCATGTCAACGGTACTCGTGTTTTGGATTATTTGACTTCAGCCATTGGAAAATTCAAATGGGATTAGGATTACTATTAAAATTGTTATGTGCTTTGATTATTGCCATACCCGAAGCATTACCCATGCGTTTTGTGTCTCTGAAACCAACAGTAACAGCCAAGCATAACAGCATTAAGATCCAGTTAATCTCCGGGATGTAAATCTGGCCGTGTACTTTGGACGATGTGTGAACTATTTTGACTCTTGGGAAGCAGCCCAGAGCGGAGCATTGTTTGATGATCGAGAAAGTTCCAGTGATGATGGCTTGGCTTCCCACCACCGCAGCGAGTATGGCAATCGCCAGAACCGGCCATCTTAATTTCTCTGACACATCAGCGTGAGATATATTTGTTAATTGAAATTCATAAAAAGAATTAATATGCTTTATCCTTTAATAATAAGCAATCAAAGACACCTACCGGGCACTGAAACATAAAATCCAATTTGATAGTTGTTGTTGATAACATGGTGCTGAGATAGATAAGCAGCTTGGCCCATATATGCCAGAATCAAGGATGGATAAACCACGGATGTGAAAGCAATCTGCAGAAACATGACTGTCTATTAGAGAAAGATTTGAGAAATCGTGAACTATATCCTCAGATTGCTCAAGTCAACACGATACAAATTGAAGAACACATAATCAACAGAAGTAAAATGGCAGAAAATAATTACAAAAAGACAGATGTGCAAGTGGTCTTGTGCTCTGGTGCAAATGAAAATAGGGGCCTTATTTGCAATTCCCCGATAAAAAAATGGGAAAGGTTTAGATCATGAAGGAGAACCCAAATTTTGAAAACCTCAGATCATCTAGATTCAGATACTGAAGAAAATATACCTGGATCGACAACTGTGAAAAGTGTCCTAGATCTGCAAACATTGCTTCTGAACCTATAATAATACAATAAGCATTAATTAGAAATCAAAAAGGAAAAAAAAAAAAGAAAAGAGAATAATCCTTGGATGTGAAAAGAATATATACTTACCGGTTATGCATAACAGAATCCCGCCCAAGGACATCCATCCACCTCTTTGAGTTTTCTTCAAAAATTTGTACATGTAAACCTAACCCACTACACCACTACCACCTCCACTTCACCTACTCCTTACCTACTACACACTCACCCTCTTCTATATATAGGAATCATGAATCATTGTAATAGATATCAATATAAATCAATCAATAATACAATTCTCTATTTCTCTTTATACATTAAATTTCTACACCTTGGATGTGAAAAGAATATATACTTACCGGTTATGCATAACAGAATCCCGCCCAAGGACATCCATCCACCTCTTTGAGTTTTCTTCAAAAATTTGTACATGTAATGCGGAGATAGTGCTTGATACACATGAGGGTTCCAGTGAAAGATGTTATATACGCCAATAGCACTGATGCACAACAGCCACATTATAACCACTGGTGCGAACAAGAATCCAACCCTGTGCGTGCCATAATGTTGAAGGGCAAACAAGGCTATCAGTACAATACATGCAACTGGAACTTCTACATCTGCAGAACAAGCAAATTTTTAGGAGGCTGTACCAAACTCTACACTACGTGTGATTTAAAATTTTAAAATATACAAAACAGTTAGAAAGTGGTATCCTCGAGATCCAAATGCAACTATTATTAAAGAAATTGAGGCGAGTTTGATGACCTCAAGGGTTCTAATAAGGACCTGAAGATCCTATTTCCACATGCATCTTCGCATTCAACATGCAGTTTTCCCAATAATTAACCACAAGAGACCACCAACACGTGCGGCATCAAAATCTATAAAAGATATGAAAACCTCAAGATACCAATCCCGATATTCATAGCCTCGTGGCTTTAGATGCACGAATTGGTTTAGTCAAATGAAAATTCACTTACTATCTAAGAAGAAGCAATCATAATCTTTTCTGACTAGTTGCTAAATTACGCAAATAGATTTTTAACAAATGGAGCAACATGCCAATATAGACATTTTTTTCCTCACTTTCTGGTATGATGAATCACTCTGGACCCAAATACAAATCTACTGAATTTTGAGTTGAATTCTGTGACCACTAACTTTGTGATAAGGTACATCATCAAGAGCCCAGATTATTTATATATGGTCAAACGGAAAAAATTTAACTTTCAATTTTCAATTATTATTATTTTATTTTAATTTTTGTGTATCATATTTAGGGGGTCTAACAGGTATAGTTTGTGTTTTTGAATTGACTGTATCACACTTGTATGTTGATGCTCCGTGTTTTCCAGTTCACCTACTTCAATGACTCTGGTTCAGTATTAGTGCTCAAATCAAATAGAAGCTGAATCCATTGCCTTTTCATTCAGTGATCCTTTTAACAGTAATATATCAAAGAGTAATGATATACCAACATAATTTTTTAAATAAAGTCTATACAGAATGATGAGGCTAAAGAGGAAACTATTTGAATTTTTTAGATAGACTAAAAGATGTCTTCAGTAGAGGAGAGGGAAAAGCCGCTTAGATTGGGTGATTTTTGACTGAATATCACTTATAATACAATGGTTTGCCTACTTAACTTGAAGGTATTGATATATACACCAAGAAAAAATTAATAAAAGCTTCACCTATCAAAGGAGAGAAGATTGAGGATCTTACATTTGTGATGCTCTTTTGCCATAGCAAGCTCCAACCCAGACACTGCAGAAAAAACTGCACAAACATTTGGCCACAACAATCAATCAGTCAATTTAAAAACATTACGGTGTCATTTGGTAACCTTTCTGTTTCCTGTTTTCTGTTTTCTGTTTTCGTTTTCATATATATATATATATATTTTTTTTTTACAAAATCGGAGATGAAAACTTGAACAGAATCAACAAAACATACCAGAGAAGGAGACATTTCTGCAACACTACATGCCGGTGTGAGGACACCATCCCCAATCACCATACAAGCCCCAACCAAAGCCAATAGAAGGAGACATTTCTGCAACACTATATGCCTCTCTAATGCAGACTTCAAACTTTTCCCAAAACTAGTTTGAGGAGTGATATCCTTCTTGTAAGATGACACTTCTTCATCTGCTAACTGGCAATTGGGTAATGAGTTGACTCGGGCGTGTCGACACAGGAGAGAGTATAGAGCAAATGTGCCCCCTTCACCATTGTCATCTGCTTTGAGAACAATTAAAACATATTTGAGAAGTGGAACTAAAGTGAGTGTCCAGAAGACAAAGGACAAAACCCCAAAGATCTCTTCATTGGTCTCTGAGTGTTCAATGTCATCAGCAAAAGTGCTCTTGTATACATACAGTGGGGATGTACTCAAATCACCATAGACAACCCCCAAACTCTGGTAGGCTAAGATCAGTACCGTTCTCCAAGATTCTTTCTGGCAAAAACGAAAACAAGAAAAACAGGAATAAGGTCGAGAAACTATAATGGGTTTGTTCCAAAACACCCAAATAACTCAAATTAACACGTACCCATCTCACAAAAAGCCAAAAAATCCAAAACCAAAACCAAAAATAAGGTCAGGAAACTGAAATGGGTTTGTTCCAAAACACCCAAATCAAACTAACACATTCCCATCTCACAAAACGACAATATGGTCAAAAAACTGAAATGGGTTTGTTCCAAAACACACAAACACATTCCCATTTTACAAAACAAAAACAAAATAACATGATGGTTGGAAAACTGAAATGGGTTGTTCCAAAATACCCAAATAACACAGTTTAACACATACCCATCTCACAAAATAAAAAACAAAACAACAATATGGTCTGAAAACTGAAATGGGTTTGTTCCTGAAGACCCAAACAACAGAAATTAACGCACAACCATCTCACCTTAACAGGGTTCTGATAAACCCCACTTTCCAGATCCATGATGGGTCACCTCAAAACCCTAGAGAAGCCATTTTTAATGTAAATTGAAGAGATTCAACGAAGACCAATTACTCAAAACGCCCTACCCAGTAAAAAAACTTCAATGAAATCATACAGTAGCTTCAAAAAATAAAATGATAGTTTAGTAGTAATTATGCAGAGAGCAGTTCAACAACTCTCAAAGAAGAAGAACAAACAAGAAGAGCCACAGGTTTTTTGGAGTGAAGTTGGAATCGGAGAATAAATTTGTAGAATATTTTTCTTGTAACAGTGCGAGATTTGTTTTGTATTTGGTGGGTATTTACGCTTCTCTTTATGGGTTCGTTCTTAGTTACATTATTGTTGATGATTTATAGTATAGTATAGTATATATATATATATTCTTCTTGTTGTGATCTCTGAGTCCACTTGAGAGAAGAGTTCGTGACAACGAAAGCTCTGAAATTTAGCCCAGCTGACGATTATACAGTGACATTTTCTAATTCTCTGAGAGCATGTTTGTTTTGAGGTGGGATTCTCATTGTTTGTTTGAAAAATTTTGTTTTGGATTAATAGTATTTTGGATTATTAGTCTTGTAAATATGTGATTATTTTATTTTATGGGAGTGTAGGATAGAAATTATGGGATTGATATTTTATGGAATTATTTTTTAAAATGTCCATTTTACCTTCCATACTATTATTTAGTAAATAATTAGAAAATGGTAAAATAGTCTTTTTGAATATTTATAACTCTTTCGGATTCGAGCGAAATTTAGGATCGGAAAGGTTAGTTATGGAGCCGGCGACGGCGTCGCCGTGGAGATATCGGCCGGGAGGAGGATTCTGGAGCAAAAGACCGTCGCCGTTCAGTTCGTTGACGAAACCTAGGGTTTTCTCTTTCCGATACTACAGAGGCATGAAATCTCCGTTTTTCCGGCGGCGAGGTGGATTTTTTCCGGTATCGGAGAGATACGCCGTAGGAGGGGGATCATCACGACGGACTAAATCGTTGGCGAGCCCGATGTTCATGAGGTCGTCGGGGGCCGGGATGTTCTCGTCGAGCCGGCTGAGGAGCGGCGATCCAGAGGCGTTGCTGTCGCCGGAGAGATTTAACAGAAGGTAAAACTGGCCGGAAATGGCTCGACTGACAACGGCGGCGGAGGTGGCGGTGGCGGAGGAGGATGGGGTCGGAGCAGCTTTAATGGGGGGGTGGCGTGGGTGAATTAAATGAGAGTTCTGAGTGGGCTGAATTTTGTAAGGCGGTCATTAAATGAATGGCGTTGGGTTGGGAAAAAGAGCATTTAATGCAAAGTTGACGAGAGAGACGAGAGAGATAGAGAAGAGACAGAGAGAGTGTGTGAATGTGATGACTGTGAACATAGACCGATGGATGGAGAATCACACTTCCATTTCTCTACCTCTACCCATCTGCGTCTCTCTCTCTCTCCATTTATAGAAGCTAAAATATATATACACCATTTTTCTTTTTTTGTTTTTGTTTTTGTTTTTATTTTTGTTTTGGTTTTGTTTTTTTCGTAAACAAAATTGCTTGTAAATAGAAAAATATTTAGAACTTTAGCTTTGTTCAAATTGTTTTTACCCCTTTGTTTTGAGAGGGTTTGAATTTACAAGAAGTACTAAAGGGCTGTTTGAGATGTTTTAAATAAATGTATTTTTTAACTTTTTATAAAAATATGTATAAAAGAGTAATGAGGAGATATTGATTGATGTGACTTAAAAAAGATAAAAAAATAAAAAGTACGGATTTATTTAATCTTTCCAAACTTGTCAAAATGTCCATTTTACTTAAAAGAAAATTTAAAAAAAGTACTTAAAATATGGTGAATGTTTAAAGGAAAATGATTTGTCCTTCTAATTTTTTTCCCCCGAATCCCCCGAAATCACAGAGGAGAGAAAGAGAGGGGAAAGAGAAGAGAGGGGAAGAGGAGGCAGGTCTCAGCCGTCGCAGCCCTCTGCCCGATCGTCGCAGCCTCCGCCGTCGCCTCCGCAGGTCCGTCGTCGCAGCCTCGCCCCTCGCAGCCCCTACCTCTGCCGCCTCCGCCTCCGCCTCCGCCCCATTTGTTGGGCCCCCTCCAGTCCCTCCTCCTCCCTCTCCTCCTCCCTCCTCCTTCTTCTTCTTCCATCTTCTTCTTCGTTTCTGATTCAACCAAAAAAAAAAAAAAGAGGCAAAAACGACGTCGTTTTTGCCTTTAGGGGATTCGAGGGGCCTGTTTTCTAGCGACGTAGCATTGCTCATAAAAAAATATATTAAAAAAATCAACTCTCCATCCTGAAATTGTAGGGGTGTTTTGAAAAGATTGTTAAAAATTGACTTTTTATTTTTTTTGGTTTTTTGACTTTTTTTATTTTATTTTTTAGAGATGAAATAGGTTAAAAGATAGGAAGTGGTTTTTAACACACTTTCCAAAATAATATCTAAAAAATTATTCCAACAATAAGTAGAATGTATATAAATTTAAATTTTATAAAATGTGACTCATATCATAATAATTGTTTAGTTCATAAATATATATTTTTTTGAGTATTAATTGACATAATTACACGGGAATGGAGATACTGCTATGAGATTAAACAACATTCAGTGTGTTTGGTTTGAGTTTTCTGGATTAATTTTTTTGAAAATTGAGTTTTTTAGTTTTCGTATTTTTTTTTTAGTGAATATTTTTAAAATTTTAAACATTTTTTTTACTTTTTTAGATGCATCTTACTTAGATATATCTAAAAAGTAAAAAATTTGTAAAAAATATTTTAAAAAATTAATAAATACATAAAAATACAAAAAATGTACTGAATTCTTTTATTTTTTTTATATTTTTGGTATTTAGTGAATTTTTCAAAGATTTTTTTTACTTTTTAGGTATATTTATGTTTGATGTGTCTAAAAAGTAAAAAAATTACTTAAAATATTAAAAAAATTCAATAAAAATAAAAAAACACGAAAAATAAGAAAATAAAATTTTTTAAAAAATATTTTTTAAAAAATAAAAATAAGCAAGTTGATTATTTTAATTTTTTTTTTTTGGTTTTGAACCCATCTATCTATTGCACTTATTGCCACTTTATTTCTCAACTCTTTTTTGCTAAACTTGTGCAGCCTTATTAATCAAGAATAACACGTAAATATGTCAGGTTGATATTCTTGAAATATTAGGTTTTCAGTTTTCTAAAACACTTTTTAGAAAATTCTACTTTTTTATTTTTTGTATTTTTTTATTTTTACTGAATTTTTTTAATATTTTAAACAATTTTTTTACTTTTTAGACACACCTAATATAAATACACATAAAAAGTATAAGTTTTGTGAAAAAGTCTTTTAAAAATTCCCTAAATACAAAAAATACAAAAAAAAAACGAAAATTCATTTTTTTACTTTTTAGATACATCTAAGTAAGGTGCATCTAAAAAAGTAAAAAAAATGTTTAAAATTTAAAAAATATTCACTAAAAACAAAAAAACACAAAAACCAAAAAAGTCAATTTTCAAAAAACTTAATCCAGAAAACTCAAACCAAACACAGTGAATAATTTTCAATTGGAGGAGAACTTTAAAAAGTAACTGTTGATTTTTTGGCTTTCGAAAGTTATTATTGTAATTGCGAGCGTGTCAGTAAGGATCAATCAATCCTTACAGAAAATTAATTGCCAACCAATTATCAGACGATTGTATTTTAGTTCTTTCAGCCTCAATGAAGGGGACTTTTACTGGTAGCTTGATTTAGGAGAATTAATCAAAATAACAATTAAATGAAGAACAGTTAAAATATTTCATTAAAATAAAAAACTTACACTGATCCAAACTCAGCCTCGCAGAGGTTTACAGCAACAATCTACTTAAAATTACTCCTATAAACGAAGTGCAGTGCATGAATTTAAAGTACAGGAATTGTAAGACTAGAAATGTAAGACTGGAAATGTAAAATAAGTAGAATAAGACTGATTTTTTGGATTTGAGTCCGGGGGTTTTTTTTTCTGGATTCTTCTCTACTATTCATACTTCTTAAGGATGACCATCGAACTGCGTTTCCAACCGTCGAACTGCTCCTCCATGATCGCTGATCATGTTGCCTTGTAATTAGCCCACTATGCCATCACTTGCAGTTAAACTTCCCTCCTAAATTTGAATTTAAATGTGAGTAACCGTTGAAGCCACATCACCTTGCCTATCTTTGTTGATTCACTGCTATTCAGATCTCGTAATAACCAATACTAACTGCCACGTGTACGATTAGGATCGAAGACTTAACTAGCCTTCCTGTATTACCCTTATTCTGTCACGCGTCGAATTGTAATTGGCTTGTACAAAATATGTAGCCAACATTGCCCCCCGCAGCCCTTAAAAATGATATTTACTTGAATTTTTGAAGGGCCAAACCAAGCACATGACTAATCGAAGCAATAAAGTGTTTCGAATAATATCAACAAAGCGCTTCGAACGATATAATAGTACAAATAAAGTGCTTCGAATGATATAACAACACCAATGAAGTGCTTCGAATGAGTATGAAATTATGACTAGATGTCTCGAAGGCTAGCTATTATGGACTAGTAACAAGTTTCGAAGGTGATATAAAGGACCAAAATCATCTTTCGAATGTTGAAAGTGCCGACAAAGGACAAATTACATCCTTGGAAATACTCGGCAAAGCTTCGAAGGTTCACGACCACCATTATTGTTTCTTCAAAGCTGTTAATACAAGATGGAGTACTTCGAAGCTCACAAAATTATGGCAAAAAGGCCTTCGAAGCACTTTTGGCCAACATTGTGGTTATTCAAATTTTGTATGTTCTGGTTCATACATAATTAATGAAAATATTAATTTTGTGCTTCGAATAAATTATTAATTCTTCGAAGAAACCAAAACTGTTGTTCTTCGAACCAACTTATCATGCCAAAAATAGGCATTATTCGACAACTAATTAATTGCCACTTTACATATATTTGAAGAGAGGTACATATTTTGAAAGTTTTCTCGCCCCATGTTACATTTCGAAGGTGTTTATTGATAACAAAACCACCATTCGAAAGTCACAAATGTTACTAAAGGATCAAAGTCGTCCTTCGAAAGTGCTCATGACATCTCTTCATACCAAATCCAAAGAGTTGAATTACTATGAAATTAGTTTGGCATTTTAACAAGCCATTAATGGCTATAAAATGATATTTCAATGAATAACATGCTTCGAAGTGTCTTGGGACATATTTCAAAGGTAACTACAAAACCAAATGATGATGGTTTTATGGATTAACCATATTTTTGGCCCAATATATTTCAATAACAAAATATTATTTGCTAGCCATTCCATCAAAGTCAACGTTTGATG